GCTCTGACCATACCGTACACCGCGGGACTTTACCTTGGGAATCAATCCTGTGAACAGCAGAACAGGAACCATCTCAGATCCATGGCAACAGATAGGACACCCTCTTCCAAAACTAATTACTTTTTCTCTTTGGTATAATAGCGCATGAATTGCACCCTCTTGCTAAATTGGAAACTTTTGAACCTTGACTGATGCTTCTATTTGTTATGCGTAAATCGCAGAGAACGCTATCTTGTGTTTATAAGATCTTTGCTACAGCATATCAAGGATGATGAGGTGCAGGATAATTAATAGAGGATTTGCTTTTGATATATTATAACTGAGGAACTACCTGAAGGCCAATGGCAGCAAAGTGTGTGGAGGTGTTGGGGGGGGGGGATTTTAGAATGTAATTCACGACGTGATGGCAGTGGCATATCTAGGCAGCTTCAAATGGAGTTGCTTATTGGGGGCGCATAGGTTAAGTGGGGGCTCGATGATCAGTTCGATGGCCGCTAACCCAAAAAAATATGGTGATTTTAAGGATTTTTAACTACTTGAACTGTGATTTTTAGGGAAGAGCGCAACTTGGGAGGGGTGTGGGAGATCGGGTAGGGGATGTATAAAATTTTTGGAGGAGCGTGTGCACCACGTATACGTAATCTGTGTGATGGTACCAAAATCTGCCCAAAGCAAGCCCCTAGGCTGGTGGCCAGAAGCCGCCAAGGAAACTGTAGATATTTGATGAACTTGGTTGAATTTTATTTAGTTTTTCTTATATAGGCATCAAGTATTTCCATGATTACAATCAATTAGTAATTAATTATTATTTAACAGATTTTTTTGAAAAAAGTTTAATTAGTTTGTCTTCATTTTCCAAAGTAAAGTTAATATTATACTTATAAAAACTATAGACATGCATGCACCTTTGCAAAAATTATATGTCACAACATGAAAAAGGAGACTTATATAATGAAATACAATTTTTTACGAATTTTTAATTAAATTTTCACAAAATTTGTTGTGGTAAATAACTTTTTACCAAAACAAGCAATTTTTTCAAGTTAAATGCTATTGAATGATTTAATTTTGCAAAAAAAAATTGTGCTCTCCTTTTCCATATTTGGTTAGATAATATAAAATGCATTTTATAACAAAAGAAAATATTTTACCTATCAGAAGCACCAGAATGTCATATGTTAACAATATATTTATAACACAAGTTTTGTTGCATTTTTGAATTGGGCAATTTTAAAAATTATACTGCACAAATTAGATGTTTATTTTTTCTAAATTATTTTAAACTTTATTCAATTATTAAATTCATAAAATTTATTAAATCTTCTTTTACCTTAAAATTAAGTCTACATTGACATTTTTCACTCCTGCTTTTACATTTTAGTGCATGCATATCTATTGCAGATTTTGTAATTAATTCTGTAATTCCAAATGTAAAATTTAAAGATAAACTCTTATATTACATTTATTAAGTTACTTTTATTGATTGTATATTTTACTTTTGTTCTGTATAACAACACATACTTAAATTCTACAATGAAAATTTCTTGTTTTACATTTATTAGTTAAAGTTATGTTTGAAAATTGTTGTTACTTTTGTGTGTCAAACTGAACCACTTTGGAAACCAGTACATTGTATTTAAAGTGTATTTCAGAATAAAGAAAGAATAAATAAATAAATAAATTATAAACCACAGAGATGAATTGTATTTTAAGCAAAAGAAAAACATCAATTTGAAAAAATATACATATAAAATTTTCCCAAATTCAATCTTGAATAAGAAATTTAACAGTACTTCAAATAAATTTACAAATGTACAGTTAAAACTTATTTAATCATCAACACTTTCTTAAAAACATCACTTAATCTAGATTTTATTATAAAATATGAAAATTGAGGGGAATCTTACACATTGTGGTGTGGTATCTTGTACCATTGATCCCCATCAGTGGTGTGGTATCTTGTACTATTGATCCCTATCAGTGGTGTGGTATCTTGCACCATTGGTCCCCATCAGTGGTGTGGTATCTTGCACCATTGGTCCCCATCAGTGGTGTGGTATCTTGCACCATTGGTCCCCATCAGTGGTGTGGTATCTTGTACTATTGATCCCCATCAGTGGTGTGGCATCTTGCACCATTGGTGCTCACCAGTGGTGTGGTACCTCGCACGATTGGTTTTCATCAGTTTTATGGTATTGTGGTGTGGTATGGTACAGTATCTTCTACTTCCTCTTCACAATTGTTCCTCTCCTGGAATGAGAATGGAATAAAAAAAATGTAGAAACCTTTTTAACAAACATAAAGTTGTACATGTACAAAATATACACAAAGAAATAAATCAGGAAGAAAGTGTATACAGTGTTGTAAGATAATAGATACTAAAATTTTCAAAAAGGCAGTAAGCAGAATGAGGTAATCTTGTCAACTGTACCGTAAGCCTACTGTGTACACGTTTAACCCCCGAACTTGGATATTTTCTGTAACGTCTCATAGGTTGATCACAAAATGAGCAATTAATTTTAAAATTTTACCTTTTCTTATAGAATAATTAGGTGAAGTGATGTGGAGGAGCTCAATGATTATGTGTGGCCAAGGGGGCGCCAAATGAACAGCAGTGTGGATAACTGATGCGAATCGCCAATTAAATACTCAACACGACACATTTATACTTAGCGATCGTCGGTCAATTGCCTGGTCCGACGAATTACCCATATGATAGGGAATTACCCAAATGATACGAAATTACCAAAATGATAGACAGTTACCCAAATGATACGGAATTACCCAAATGATACGATACCCAAATGATACGAAATTACCCAAATGATACGAAATTTCCCAAATGATACGAAATTAGCCAAATGACAGGAAATTACCCAAATCATAGTCCAAATGGCTCGTCAATTCGTTTATACAAAGCTAAAGTTTAAGTATTATGTTAGTAGCCAATGCATTATTATGTTTCTATTATTTTTTTATGCTAAATTATTATTATTATTGTTATTATCTTATTTAGTATTATTATCCATATTATTACTAGGCATAAAGTGTGATACTGAGGATCGTAATCATGTTAAAGCTTCAATTTGATCATTCCACTTATAATAATAATAATAATAATGATGATGATGATGATGATGATGATGATGATGATTTTTTTAAATACTGAGCTTTCAATTATTTTATGTACAAGAAAGAGAGATACGATACACTAAACAAGAAATCCCCATGGTTTAATGGTCAAAATTAAAAGATTGTATTACTATATACGAAGTACAATAACACATGCACTAGGCCTGCATACCAATGTGTCCATTCTAGATACTGAAAGGAAACAATTCTGGTTTGATGATTAAGTTTATTGCTAAAAAGGTGTCAAAATATAATTCTGAATGAATTTTTAGTCTACTGTAGTACTATTTTGATACAATGAAAAAGTGTCCAGGGGTTAAATTGATTTGACCATTTGCCACACTCAGAAAGTGTCCCTGTCTCCTTAGTAGAGGGTGTCTCCTTAATATGGATTTGGTAGTATTAAAAGGTATATTTTCCCTCGTTTCACAGAAGGCGAACTCTATACAGAGACATGACATTACATGAATTTACAATTAACTATTGTCTCAAAATATGTATGGCTTCAAGTCAGAGTGATGAAAATTATTACCAAAATTCACCATATTAATACATAAAAGCCTTGGAAAATATTGTTAATATAATTATCATTAATGCTATAAAATGATTAAACAATTATAAAAGCCATAACAAATAATTATTACAAATAAATACTGTATGTTAAAATTACGAAAGGTTTCTCATAAAACAGAATTTAGGCCCTCCATCGACATTAATAAAGTAATCATCTATGTCCAAAGATCATTTGGGGCCGAGTTGACTCAGGGCCGAGTTGACTGGGGCTGAGTTGACTTGGGGCCGAATTGACTCAAATTCGTTGTGCTCATGAGGATCCATTGATTCAATGAATTTCTTAACTGTTCATACTTAATACTGAATTTGAAGTAACTTTCTTCAGGTTCAAATTAAGCTTGTTTTACAATAAGTAATTTTCAATTACAATTCAATTTCATCGCAGTGTACGATGTGCTCACGGTGATAACAATTTTTTTTGCACACAAACCTAAAAAAAATCAAGCCAAGCATTCACTAATAGACCGAATTAGAAACGAAAAATGACGTTTTTTTCGTTTGGCCGAGTGGGTATAAAATTGTGAACAAAGCCTAAAAGTCCTATTCTATAACGTTGCGAGTTTTTGTATGGTCCAGAAAAACAAGCAAAAAAACCAAAGTATGCGGGTAAGATACTTTTTAAATCATTGGTAGGTTAAGGAAGGTTCATAGAACCATCAGAAGATGTTTGATTTGATTTTCATGTAAAATTATGTTAAATATACGTAGAGTTTTTACAGGCTAGGCCTTGGACCCCGACACTTGTTGCATGACAACGCGACATGGCTGGATGTGATGATTGAGTGAGGCCTGACTATAAACGTTCAGCTCCGTGCTGTCGTCAAGTCTTTTACTTGTTTACACATCCAGTCTGCCAAAGTTATTGGTGTGAATTTAGGAACATTATTCAATAATTTTGAATAACTTAGCTCTCCTTGAAATCAATAGTACACAAATCACAAGTACAACACATATCATGAGTTTTGCAACAAGCACATTCATCGACCGACGCCATGATTCACTGTGAGTGAATACATGGCTGCTGTCGCCGTGCTGTAACACAGGCAGACACGACCAATGGACGTTTTATTCCCAAAATAGTATGATTTATATTTCACATTTGGCATACACAATCGTAGAGAAAAGATGACGTTACATTCATAAACATGTAACAATGGTTTCTGTTATTAATTTAAATCACGCTCAACTTTACACACAAAGCGTGTATGAGAAGTTTTAGTAAAGGTTATTTTCTTAAATTACTGTGTAAATCACCTATCTTCATGCATTTGTTTTGGTTCGAATACCCACTAATAGCTGAACAGCGTCGATCGCTAATTCGGTCTATTGAAAAATTATTGGACAGTGGGGAATAGGCAAATAACATTGGGAGTTGCAGTGATATTGGGAGTTGCAGTGATGACGTCACATTTGACTTATAATTACTATTGTTGTTGTTGTTGTCGTTATTATTATTATTATTATTATTATCATCAAATGAATAAAATTTAAACAAGAATTATAAATATGACAGATATGAAATAAATAGTATGTTCAAATTCGAAAGGCTTCAATGTTAATTATTATACACTTTGGTAATTACGTATCATTTGGGTCTTCATTTGGATAATTCTGTACGGGTTGGTTTGTGTACGGGTTAGCCAAAAGCCGAATATTCAGGCTCGCTCTGCCACAACACAACAGCCTGCGGCGGCCCAGCAGTAATAAAGCCGGTACGATTCCCGTGCTTAGCTTTCTGCGGCTCTAGTTAGGCCTAGTCTAGGCCCTAGAGGCTAGGCCCTAGGCCTTTATATTGTTATATGCCATAAACTAACTAGTCTCGGATCCTTAACTAATTACTTACCATGTTGACGTTAAAACTGAAGTATTTAGTTTTTTACAAATATAGAAATTATATCGAAATATAAATAATGGTAGTTTTCACATGTCTTTCATTATATATCATAGAGGGCAGCAGACATCATCAAAACAATCAGAGAAAAAATCGTCAAAATGTATAGAGGACAGCAAACCTCAAACGCCCTCTATTTATAATCACAAAATATAAACAAGCGTGGCTAAGTAAGCGAGGAGCACGTTTTCATCCGGAACATTGAGTTTTAATTCTTCCTCAGTGAAGCTATTTTGCCGAGAGGACTAGAACGTTTAATTCATACTAAATATCTCAACATCTCATAATGGTAAGCCCATTTATATACGTGAGAAATAACTGAATACATAGTCTTCTAGCCGCACCTCTCCACTTGTCTATAAGCGTGGTGGTGGCCCAGCAGTGGTGCCTGGTGCACTTCTAGAGAGGTCCACGACAGCTAGGCAGTAGCTGCATAAGCTAGGCCTAGCTATTCAGTGACCATGTTAAATTTTTATTGTCAAAATTAATTGTTGAAAGTGGATTATCTATTACTTATCTTATTATTCTCTGTGATCCCAGGCTGGAGAAGAAGTCAACCCAAAAGCATTCCCATTGGCTGATCCTGCATTGTCAAAATCAATTTTAAACCTAGTTCAGCAAGCCTCTCATTACAAGCAGTTAAGGAAAGGCGCGAATGAAGGTAAGTACAAGTCATATAATCTCATTATAAAGCCAAATAAAAGAGACAATGCCTATTGTACTTCCATCTGTCCTAAGCAATGATTTCTAATTCTGATTTCTATGTGCTATTTAGTATTATTCAAATAAATAGCCTTAGGTCTTGGACCTACATACAATCCATACAGTAAATTTTTAATTGTGCAAATGATATCTTAAAAACCAACTCCAATTTGTACGGAAATTCGCAAGAAAAGTAGGCACAGAATTGTAAGATTACATTGTAACAGTTGGCCCTTTTTTCCCATGCAGACAGATTTCTAGGCTATATTTTTGCACGGAGAATATATTCCCCACACAGGCCTTACAATCTAATCTGATCAGAATTAAGACTAGTGAAACAATAGCAACTGTTTTTACTAATTATTGCTTTACATTTTAGCTACTAAGACCTTGAATCGTGGGTTGTCGGAGTTCATTGTAATGGCAGCAGATGCTGAGCCATTGGAGATCCTCCTTCACTTGCCTCTGCTGTGTGAAGACAAGAATGTTCCGTATGTGTTTGTGAGGTCCAAAGATGGTAATTTGATGTTCTTGTCTCAGGCCCAAACCCCCATATTTGACCAGTTTACTGTACTGTAGAAGTATTTTATCATAACTTAATTTTTTTGTTAAACTTGGACTATAGGAAACCCCCTTTCCCATGTGATTAACCAATTTTAGTTTTAAATCTTATAAAGAAATGATCCATGATAGAAGCTAATTTGGTTGATTGATATTCCATATGGAATATACAGCGTGATGGCACCAGCGAAGGAGTGGTGGGTAGGGGGAAAGCAGGGGGAATTACAACATAATAATTTGCCTATCCAAGTAACTACTAATCAATAAAAACTCTTAGGGCTGCAACCAAGCCTCTAGTCAACCCCTTGGTTGGGACCCCTCCCAGCAAATTTCTGGTGCCGCCACTGAATGTACAGTAACGAGCCATAATCTTCATAATGATAATATTATTATTTATTAAATACTTGTGTGAATGTGGTAAAGAAATACCATAGAATTTTCAACTATTGAACAACCATTTAAGAATAATATTATAATATATGCAAATTAAAGTAGCTAATGTACTCTAAATATACAGTACTTACAATCCATTTCTTACAATCCATTTTACAATTAAAGGTTCAATCATTTGACTAGTTGCTTTTTACTTAATACAGCACTGGGAAGAGCATGTGGGGTGTCTAGGCCAGTGATTGCTTGTTCGGTTACCATCAACGAGGGCTCACAACTCAAGCAGCAGATCCAATCCCTGCAAGTCAGCATCGAAAAACTCCTCATTTAAAGGGCGCTTTTAATCGAGCGTCTCACAGACTTCTGTTTAAGGCTACCTTCTTTTAAGTGTACCGAGTGTTAGTCTACGTTTGAGGGAATCCGTCTTTGATTTTCAGGAGGAAATATTAATGAAACAGAGTGCAAGCCTACTTGTCGTTTGATGTACACAGATCATAAACTTTTACTAATAAAACATGAACATGCAGATGCTGAGCCATTGGAGATCCTCCTTCACTTGCCTCTGCTGTGTGAAGACAAGAATGTTCCGTATGTGTTTGTGAGATCTAAAGATGGTAATTTGATGTTCTTGTCTCAGGCCCAAACCCCCATATTTGACCAGTTTACTGTACTGTAGAAGTATTTTATCATAACTTAATTTTTTTGTTAAACTTGGACTATAGGAAACCCCCTTTCCCATGTGATTAACCAATTTTAGTTTTAAATCTTATAAAGAAATGATCCATGATAGAAGCTAATTTGGTTGATTGATATTCCATATGGAATATACAGCGTGATGGCACCAGCGAAGGAGTGGTGGGTAGGGGGAAAGCAGGGGGAATTACAACATAATAATTTGCCTATCCAAGTAACTACTAATCAATAAAAACTCTTAGGGCTGCAACCAAGCCTCTAGTCAACCCCTTGGTTGGGACCCCTCCCAGCAAATTTCTGGTGCCGCCACTGAATGTACAGTAACGAGCCATAATCTTCATAATGATAATATTATTATTTATTAAATACTTGTGTGAATGTGGTAAAGAAATACCATAGAATTTTCAACTATTGAACAACCATTTAAGAATAATATTATAATATATGCAAATTAAAGTAGCTAATGTACTCTAAATATACAGTACTTACAATCCATTTCTTACAATCCATTTTACAATTAAAGGTTCAATCATTTGACTAGTTGCTTTTTACTTAATACAGCACTGGGAAGAGCATGTGGGGTGTCTAGGCCAGTGATTGCTTGTTCGGTTACCATCAACGAGGGCTCACAACTCAAGCAGCAGATCCAATCCCTGCAAGTCAGCATCGAAAAACTCCTCATTTAAAGGGCGCTTTTAATCGAGCGTCTCACAGACTTCTGTTTAAGGCTACCTCCTTTTAAGTGTACCGAGTGTTAGTCTACGTTTGAGGGAATCCGTCTTTGATTTTCAGGAGGAAATATTAATGAAACAGAGTGCAAGCCTACTTGTCGTTTGATGTAAACAGATCATAAACTTTTACTAATAAAACATGAACATATACTTAGTCTTGTGTTTTTAATATTTTTGACTCAAATACAGAATAAAATTCAAAAAATGTTTTCATTTTATATCTTTCTTGCATTTTATTTCATGATATTACAAGATTGATAATAGTACTTACAAAGTACAGCACTTTACATTCAAACAAATATGTGACAGGGTCTAGCAAAACAAGCCATTGTCGCAATTTCCTAATTTCACAAAAGCACCTAAAACTTCTCAGCATCAGAATTTTGAATATTTTTTATAAAAGACAATATATTGAAGAACATTTCTTCAAAATATTAATCACTAAATCTGACTGAAAATTATTTTAAAAATACAAATCCTAATACTGATTAAACTATTAATTTTGAAAGCTGTTTTCTCAAAACATACATGGCAGATATCCTATGAATTAAATATTCTTAATCCTGCTAATAATCAACCAATTTCAATAAAATACACACTGTTTTAAAGAATTCATGCAGAACCTACAAACCCAAAAACAAGAATTTTGAATTTTTCCCACAAATGGCTGGTTTTGCTAGAGCTGGCCACTTATATCACAGAGAGATTCATATTGGCAGCAGGGGTGGTGCCAGGATTTGCCTGACAAGGGTCTAAGGTCCTTGAATAGAGCAAAGTGGGCGTGGTTAAGCGTCGCTTAAAATGTTTCTAAATTGTTGACAATTTAGGTGTTTTAAAGCTTATTTAATCGATTTTAGATTCTACTAATATACATAACAAAACAAACTCCATCAAAGTTCATTCAGAAGGGTGTGGGGCGGGACTGGGTTTACATGTTAATTATTATTTAATAATGTTTACCTGAATTTAATCGGTCGGTTCATTCGCATTCACGTTTCGATTGGATTTTTTGCTTCAGCGAAACTGGTAGTTTGAACCGTTTCAAAGGAAAAAAATGCTCAGGAAGCAAACCGACGATTTTGATTCACGCAAATGAATTTGCCTAGTGTCTTTAGAATAGCACCAGCAACTAGAAATTCAATTAGAGAGAAATGGAAATGAGTATCAAATGCAAATTTGGATATGGCAAGCAAAAAGTGCATAAATATGATTTTTATTTCATAGTAAAGTAGCTGTATCCACATTTTAAAATAAATTATTGTATGCCCATATATAGTCATGATGTGATGTCATCATGACCATATTTAGGCATGTCACAAAATTTTGTCAAATAAATAATTTGATGGTCGGACTGCGTTTAAGTTACATAAGTCAAATTTCTTCTACCAGTTGTTCAGTTATAATCAACTAAGAGGGAGTTAACTAATTCATACATTGGAAAAATTTAAAAGGTGGGGGAACCACTCCATGTTGGCTTTCCCACCCCCTTGAATCTGCCACTGGTATTTTACTATTACTGGAACTTACTCCTTAAGAATGTAAAAGAGAAGTTGAACTAAGTATGGTTTAGAAGGGAGTAGCAATCATTACAGCCCAATGCAAAGATGAGTAATTTTAAAAATAATGCAATTGCTTGGCCTCAAATACTAATCCCTAAGCTGTAAAATTTAATTATATAGTCATCAATTCTTTTAATAAATATTATGCTAATTAATAATATAAGGGTTATTTTGTATACAGTGACTTTTATTTATACTTTGACTCAAGGAGTTACACACTAAATATAATACATAAGATGAAATTAAGGCATTCTTACATTTTAAACTATCATCTGCACAAGAAATTTTTTCTTAATAAATTATTAGTGGCAGTGCTATGTCTTTGTTTTTGGATTGGAAATAAATATTTGGAGTGATTTATACAAATATATATAATAAAGATAAAGTAAAATGACCCATCAATGGCTCATTTATTCCTGAGCTGGTGCACACTACAGCTTGGGTGGATGCAGGATTTGGCGGTAGGGGGTACCTGAGAGTTGACAGGACCTCAGGCCCACCATGGTTGGGTTTTTTGACAATATGAACCTCTAGGTGCCCGGAAATTGCACCCTCACACCTTAAAAACCTTACCGGTACTAGGCCTATACAATACAACAATTATTTTTCTTAATGCAATTTAGGGGGGTGCGATTGCACCGTTTGCACCTCCCCTGCATCCGCCCCACTGCAGCTGTTTAAGTTCCCAGGAGCCTAATCTAAATTTTCTTTAATTTCTAACAAGCACCATAAATATAGATTTTTATAACACACCTAAATAGATCCTTGTCATTTGATTGGTCAATTTCGTATCACATGACATTGGTTATTTACACCCTGTCATCACGCATCAGCCTAATAAATCTTTTCATTGGTTAAGATGCTGGGCAGTTCCATTGAGAGAGAAGGTAGATTATTTTCATAAAATATCAAACGACAATGATCTACTTCAGGTGTGTTGTTTAAAAATTATGTTTTTTATTTGCGCAATAGAAAGAATATTTTCAAGAGTTGAAAGATTGACTGTTATATTCAGCTCGGCTCTGTCCTCATTGAATGGAACTTTCAAATTATGAAAATATTCTTCCCATTGCACTCATGAATATTCATTATTTGTTCAACATCAACTTCATGGTGTATAATAGAGTATTTTCTCCATGATTGTATTAACCACAAATTAAGGAAACATTCCAAAATCACACAATGTATGAACAAAAATAATATAAAACCCAAGAATAATTCCACCAAAATGTTTCTGAACCTTTACTAGAACTTTTCTAATATCAGTATCAGTTCCAATAGACAAACTTTTCATAAACACATTATACACTCAATTTACAATAAATACATAAAAATATAATATAAATGTATTAAATTGTGTAGCAAATAAGGTAGAGGAGGACTTGTTTTTTAACTTGAAAGATTGGTAGAGCCAAGAAAACAGCACCAAATTTCTAATTTTGTATATTATTTGTTAAGTACTAGAATTTGTTCACCTGAAGAAAATGTTAATACTGTACAAAGAAAGATAACATATTAAGCAACCACAATTTTAGCCCCAGGGTATTAGAATGAAGGACTGAGGAATGAATTTAAGGGGTCCTAGGCTGGAAAATCACTTCCAAGATATCAGGTTATTGAGGGTTCTCAACACATCTTAATGTATTTTGGTGTGGGTGATGATGCCTTAGGCCAGCTAGCATCAGCAAGACAATACACTATACTGTAATATGAGCATGCTATTAGCATTCTGAATTTGGGGAAGATAGGCTTTGGCAGGAGGCTTGCAGGCATGCAAGAAACAATGCAGGAAACATTGCTGATAACTGGTAAGCTCAAACCCTGAGACCCCTAGAATTTCTACTGTAGAACTTTTTATTCATACCACACATACAACAGCGTAATAAATTAGGTATAATTACTTTTTCTATTTTTTATTTTAGTCATTCAAAGAAATGATTATTTTTGGCGAAGGGTAAAAAAATTAATATTAGATTTTTTTTCTCGATATGATTATGTTGAAAGCATCTGTGTCAGAGCTGATTTATACGCCTCCATTGCCTGATGACTGCTAAGCAGGAAACCCTTAGAGAATGGAAAGAGTGGAAATGCAGGAAGGCCTGGCTTCTTGCTGGGAGGTGTTCCAGCTAATGCCAACCAGGACTCAATTCTGTTGACGAGACATTGATTATGCTTCCTACAGAAATCGATTACTTCATCTTTGAACACTGAAGGAGGATTTAGTAACATTCTTGTCATTGACTGAAAATAAAAGAAAAACATTGAAGATTGACAAATATACTGTATTAAAGTACAACAAAATATGAATTTTAGTAAATAGATGAATTAATAGTTGAATAATTCAGTATCCTTTGATATTTGTAAATGATTATCCTTTGATATTTGTAAATACACATACAGTCTGATTTAAAAAAAATTGTAATAGACCTTATTTATAAGTAACGAATGTTACTTATTAATTGATTATATCCAGTTATTGTGTTATTATTGTTTTTCAGGGGAAAAAAATAACATTGTACATTTGTATAGTGGGGGTATCCATGAAGAGCTGCTCAGAGTGTTTGATGAGTGGAGCAGTAGCTTGTCCTATGACTTCATTTGCCCCTAAGTGTCTCTTTCTGACACTTTTATGGCTTAAGGCCTGTTTACACTATGGCAATAACAATCAACGATAAAAAGCAAAATCATGGAAAAACAATAAAATCTGTTTTTACTACTACGATTTTACGTTTTCTCGTGATTATGACATCATTTGACTTGATTTGTGAAATTACTTTTTTATTGTATACACGATAAATCGTTGCCAAATCATGCTAGTGTGAAAATTTCTCTATTTTTTAAAATTTTCTATATCAACAATTGCTTTTTAGCTTTTTATTGTTAATCATTATCGTCATAGTGTAAATAGGTCTTTATCCTAATATTCAAGACATGTCTCTGCTATCCTTTTTTTTAATGCTAATTTTTATGCCTGATTAATATATCCCATCAATCCATCCTGCTGCTTTACCTGAACAACTTTCAAAAGTGTCATCTCATTGTACATTCGGCTGTTTTCTTCACCTAGACTTGAACCCCGATGTTTCTCAAAGCCAGCTTCATTGTAGTACGGCTCAGCGACCAGGATCAACCCCTGGATGGAGACTAGCACCTGCAGCAGTGTGGATTTACTGTTCCACATCTCATTGTGCTTTTAGAGACAAAAAACAAATTTAATTAAAATTTATTCTATATAAAAACAGAAATTATGTACATAAAGCTAACCATTGGATAATTGCAATTTGGTTGTAAAAGATCATTATTCCTTACAAATTATGAAGTATCGTAAACAAAATTAGTCATGTTGTACGGCAAACCCACATTAGCACTCGACAGAATTAAAGGGAAAATAATTAAAAAAAATTTTGCTTCTGATTCCGTTATAAGCCAGAGAATAGGATGAAAGAAAAACATAACTAATTAATTAATTAATTAATTAATTAATTAATATAATTCAAGTTATAGTTCAAGTCATTGGCTCCACCTGCTTAAGTGTTGCTGCTGTGATCAGTGCAGAAGCAGGCAAGAACACAAGCAAAATTCACAGTGAGGGATTGAACCACAGACCTTGAGTTTGTATGATATAGTGCCTTGCTCCAGAACACAAGCGAAATGCACAGCGAGTGATTGAAAAAGATACCTCAAGTTTAGGTAACCAAACTGACCACTACTATATTATATTACCTTTCCTGTCCACGTTCCAAGCAAGCTGATGCAAACTTTGCCGTCCTCGTACAGGTTTGGATTAAGACGTCTACTGCAATATGAATGGTAGTGAAGCACCGGAGGAACACCTGGGTAGTCTGAGGGTAGTCGTACATCAAAGTAGAACAACGCATCCTCGTATGGGGTGTTCTTAGGACCTTCAATTAGCACTGAGAACAAATCCTAATACAACAAAATATAAAGTCTTTGTACCAGGCTATCAACTTTCATTTGACAAAAACATGTGACATGCCCAAATACTGTCATGATGACATCACATCATGACCATATATAGGCAAATCATGACTATATATGGGCATACAACAGTTTTTTGTGGTCATGATGACATCACATCATGACCATATATAGGCAAATCATGACTATATATGGGCATACAAGTTTTTTGTCAAAGAAAATATAATAGTATAATATTATTCTGATAAACTCATCAGGTCTAACATCATCTAAATATCTATTAATATTTTAGAAAGCCATACCATGCGATCCTCAAACGTTTTCACTAAAATTCCATCTGGTAAAGAACATTGAAGTAGATTGATCTGTGAACAAAAAATACAATCATAAATGTAAATATATATTTCCTAATAAGATATTTGCCATTGCAAAAGTTGATATGATCATGTGGTATTAAATTAATGGTTTAATTTAATGGAAAGTACACTGATGGGATAGTAGTTGTGTTTCAGTGTACATTGAACTTTGGTCCAGTTGTCCAATCTACACCACTCCAGCACACACTTGAGCCTCCGCCTTGGTGACGCAACCCATAAGGCAGTGATACTAATTTGCTTTGCTACAAAGAACCTAATGGGCACTTAGATGGTGACAGGAGCCCAAGAAATATGAAAGGTATTTCTCTCATTTAAAATTCAGGAAAACTAAATGACAGTTGAACACAACCTCGTATGTTGTTACCAATTGCAAATACATTTTCAGTTGATTCTCAAGAATAAAACACAGTGTCAATGAATTGGAATGCGAAACATTTTAAGTAGCTAAGCTTAAAAAGAGACAGCCCCTACACTAGGGCATTTCCTGGACCCTCCCAGGTGACTTGAGCAAAAGGTTACACATTTGCTCGGACACAGATGCTTATATATACTGCAGAGACCAAGATGGAGACCAAGATGGAGACACTTTGGAAAGATGCAAGCCAGGTTAATTATACAGTTGAACTTGACTATTTCGAATCCAAAATGGCATTAAAAAATTGTTTGATTTGGATAAAATTAGACATTTTACAGATCGTTAATTACTGGAAAACACAACAATTTAGCATGTAAAATAAGATCGCCTTAAAAATTATATACGTAATAGCAAAGTCGACTTAGTCAAGGTTAACTGTAAATTATACAGTACATACCTCCTTCTTTACTGTTGAAATAAATCTCTTTGGTGCAGTAGGTAGATATGGAGACAGACAGAAAATGTGGTTAGCTGGGACTGATTCAACAGCAACTAATTCTAAAAAAGAAGCATCAAAAAATATAAGACTGTTTTTTTCCTCTCAAAAACTATAATATACTTGTAATCAATGTAATGTAAACATTTTGTGTTTTAAAAATTTATGCTGGTGCTGTACCTGTTTGCCCAATTTGTCTTATAAAAACTAGTACTAAAGTAAAAATGTTATTCTAAAGCAAAATAATATTTTTAAAACATATGGTAGTGTCGTATTCTTACTATTGGAATGTTGGGAATCTTCTGGCTTACAAACTGCTATTCCTGCTTTATCACTTTCAGCATATTGCACGTCATCACACTTTTCCTTGTCTGCTGTGGATTTTCCACTTTGTGTCACTACTCCCTCTGAATCAACTTTATCTGTATCTATTACATCTGATGAATTAATATTTTTTCTTTCTGTTTGTATATTTCTACTTGAATCTTCAGTTGCTTTTGAATCTGTAGATTGTTTCTGTTCATTAGTTGGCATCGTTTTATTCGGTTGTTGATTGTTCATTTCAGTGTTATTACTGGTGATGTCAGCTGGGGGCTCACCAATAGCTGGGAGCTCTTCAGTAGCTGTGGGCTCTCCAGCAACTGGGGCCTCTCCTTCAATTAGCAGTGTGTCCACATTACTATGCATGTTCTTTTCATTATTTTCATCCAACGTTGAGGCTTGTAGATCTCTGCTGTGAGAAACAAAGTAAAAACATTGATATTATTACCCTTGTCATACTTATGTTATCACCTTTAAAAATGTTAATCATTACAAATTATCATCCTATCATTCTCTTCATCACTATCATCATATTATTACTATCTGATGATACCACAACCATCACCAAGACCTACCTCAATTTGCTTGTATGCTAGAGCAAGGAATTTTACCTGCACTGCATCACTCCACCCAGGAGTATAAATATAGGTACGTGGTGGGGTTGCCTGCCACTGGAGCAATATGGCAGCAACACTTAAGAATGTGGACTCAATGACCACAGAAAAATAAAGCCCTTTGTAACCTAAAGGGAAGGCGCTATATAAATGCCAAATAACAAATTAACAAATATAACCACCAGGCACCAATAATATTAATCATCTCTATTACCTTCATTCTGAACACCAACATATTCATTCACCACCACACCGCAATACCAGCACCAGTACCAGTACCATTACCACAATATCACAGTCTCTACCACTACCAACCTCATAACCTTCTCTATTCCCTAAATTTTTAGGCAGAAAGGCAATGAAGACACCACCAGCAAATCATCATCTTCAAATTCATTACCATCACAATTATCACCAACATTTATCACCAATCCTAGTATTATTATGTTCATCCATTATCATCTTAAGTGTCATCCTCTCAACCAGGGGCAGATCCAGAGCTGTCTCTTATACACATCTAGATGTGTATAAGAGACAGACACTGGGGGCATAATGCCTGGAAATTGAACAAAAATGGCCACATACCAATAAATGTGTGTAAATAGATTTAAAAAATATATTTATATATATATATTTAATTTTTTTTTTAATTTTAAATGGAAAAAAAAATGTTTGACTTTCCAAAAGGTGGAGGGGCGGGACCAGGCCGGCCTGCCCCTCTAAATCCACTCCTGACAATTGACAATTTCTACACAGAATGTCCATAATACCTTAGCGAGGTAATGCTAGCACTGCCCTCAGAACCCTCACTTGCTGTCTCCCAGCTACTATCAGACCCTTCAATTGATTGGTTATCTAAATGCCACTTTCCATCATCTTCGTCATCTGACCAATCAGAATCACTGTCCTGAAATCAGAATATTATTCAATTCCATTTGGTTGTCTATTGCATTATAAATGCTGGGTTATAAATTATTATTATTTTATTATTTTGTTATTTATTTTTATTCTCAACCAAAAGTGAGTGACCTATGAGATGAAATAAAACACTTTGATGCTTCATCATTATATTATTACAAGTCGGAGGCATACCGTGAATGTTCTAATAAGCCCCACTCGATTAAGCACCATACCTGAATAAGCACTCGGACACCAGACATGAATTTGTTACGCTACACTCCACATTAAGCGCCACAGCCTTTATTAATAGTGATAAATTCTATTCTGAATAAACATTGTGCTTTGGTGTTTTGTGTCACCAGAATCAATCAATCTGTGAGAATCAATATCTCACAGATTAAATATTAAAAACATTGTAAGATAGTCAGATAGGCCTATTTAAGCTTTGCCCACACTAGCAATTTGTATGTGAGAAATGTGTGTGATGTGCCCATATATGGGCATGATAATGTCATATTTACCCAAATATGGGCATGATGTGCCCATATATGGGCATGATGATGTCATATTTACCCATATATGGGCATGATGATGTCATATTTACCCAAATATGGGCATGATGTGCCCATATATGGGCATGTTGTCATATTTACCCAAATATGGGCATGATGTGCCCATATATGGGCATGATGATGTCATATTTACCCAAATATGGGCATGATGTGCCCATATATGGGCATGTTGTCATATTTACCCAAATATGGGCATGATGTGCCCATATATGGGCATGATGATGTCACATTTACCCAAATATGGGCACATCACATCTATTTGTCACACATAATGTGATAGTGTACACAAAGCTTAAGCACTACAAAAAATTGTAGTAAGTGTCGCTCTGTATGTGTCACACTGAAGCCCCCATGTTTATTTGAACAAATTCGTAAACATTCTGGTCAGTGTTGGCATCAGCGGGGGTCAGGGGGGCATCTGCCACTCCGTCGGTAAGGCCTGGACCACCCATGGCGCCTGAAGCCACAACTAGGTTGTTGTACCAAAAAATATAATTTGCCTATCCAAATAACGTTATTTTGCTTGCTAATCCCTAATATTGTGGTCTACTAGCACAATTTAGACAATACTAAGCCATGAAAACTCTAACTGTGAACCCTATCATGGATTTTTTATTTCGGGCCATTCAACCGAGACTCTAGTCGGCCCTTGGTTCACATCCCTTTGTCGGACATGTCAGACCCCTCGTCGGCAAATTTCTGGGGCCACCGCTGACTCTGGTTTGTTCAGTATTTGAACTCAGGGCCCTGGAATTAGAAAGCAAGCTCTTTAAGCACCAAGCTCCACTCAATTCTACAGATCCCTTGAAAATAATTACCTCGTCTAATTTGTAGAGATCCTGCGGCAGAGCTACCGATTGTCTGCCGTCTACCCACATGACCTCAATTGTCCCGTCCGTGTTGATCCACAGAATCTACAAGATACGAAACAGGAACCGTTTTAACACCATTGTTGAAAATTAAACATAAAACACAGATTTCATCCTCTCAATTTCTCAACACAGAATCAACAACAGCAATTACATGATATTCAGTACCTTCAGTAATGTATCTTACTTTATATGTAATGTAATGTAAGGTAGTTCGATTTATATAACACTTTATACCTGAGTCTCAAAGCGCTGTGGACTAGCTCGTACAGTGACTTTCTTCTCTACTTAGGGTCTCCTAAACTGGTACCAGCTATTCTGGTAAGTCAATCATGACATCACCATTTTACATTTTACATTTTCTAACCCAAATTGAACACTAATTTATTAGTGTCGTACGTTTTAAGAAAATGTGTTTAGTCAATGAATTAGATATATTTAGTTTTATAATGTTTTCCATTGCTCTCTTTGGTCTTTTAATGCAATTCTCTGTTGTAATGTTTGTTAGATTGTAACTGTTGTTTGTAATCACTTTAACAACATTTTTGATATATTGCAACTGAATATTAGCTGACGTTCCAGGTCTAGTTGGAAGGAGTTACCCTCTGTAAATAACATTTTTTTAATATATAAAAAGTAGCAAACTTAATCATATTTTTCTAAGCGGCAATCACTTAATCAAGAAAAAACTCACAACATGCTCTTAATTTAAAACTAAGTCTTATTCCAAGGCTTACGGAGTTAATGTGTTTTTTTAGTCATAAGGAAATATTCAGCCACGATGACAGGAATGGACCACTGCGCTAAGCCCTGCCCCTTGGATAACACACGTGTGTGTTGGATACGCGCGTATTCCTGGCCCTCTTCCGATTGGTCAGTTGTTAAGTTTGCCCTCTTCCGATTGGTCAGTTGTTAAGTTTGCCCTCTTCCGATTGGTCAGTTGTTAAGTTTGATTGACACTCTGGAAAGGTTCATTAAACCGGGGACTTTCGTAATTATATACATTTGCGATAAAAAATTTCTTTCAGAGGCAGATCCAGAAATGTCCAAAAGAGGGAGAGACAACACTACCCTAGGGGATCCAGTACCATGACATTTTTGTTTTTTAATATTTTGGGCAGTCAATAATTTCTTTTTCTTTCCTTTTCCCCCTATTTTTTTACTTTCCAAACACCCCCACCTAAATCTGCATCTGTCTTTACCAATGATATCCAAAATTTTGATTAAAAATTCGCTAACCTCACCAGCAGAAGGTATATCTTGTTCAGTATTTCCAATCTGGACACCTACAACCACATCGCCAGTGTTGAAATCATAGTCAAGCCGGTGCGGCATCAAGTCATAGACACTCGTTTCTGTAGTGTGCGTATACTGCGGTCTAAAATATACACAAGAAATTATATCATCTACTGTATATGGAATTATGTGGTGTAAGGTTTTGAGCATCCTATCAATTATAGAAGGGTGGTGTGGGAGTGTTCCATTAGGTACCCATTTACACTCCTGGGTGGCGAGACCAAATTTTAAGAACACAAATATGTGTATGCAGCACGAAACTGGTTATAAATGTATGATACAGCTTATTATGAAATTTTTGATTGCACAAAGACAGTAGGATCCAGAGGTAATGGAATACCTAGATCCTAGTGACGAATGACGTCACTATAAAGTCATCTGCGCATGTAAGAACGTTGAATTCTCATCGTTGCCTGAAACTAGGATGCAGTTTGGCCCGAATCCACGTTGTGGAGAGAACGTATGGCGCTCACGGAAGAGTGAATTCATTCTAGAGTTACGACGTCGTGCAAATCAAAAGCTCCCTACAATGTTGCATTTCTTTACCCAACAAAACATATTGTATATCGTTTGAATTTAAGAAATGTAGCCAGAAACTAACAATGGGTCCTGTTGTTGCAATGGGTCCTGCTCTTGCAATGAGTCCTGTTGTTGTAATGGACTCTTGTACCACTTCACAGTACAGGTCCTGTCTTGATGGTTGGCACTAACTATCAAGCCATACACACCATCATCTATATCTACAATTACAGACAGAAACAAGCTATTACAAACTATACAAAATATAAGCCAATAAATCAAATAAAATATTTTTATCATACACTACAAAAACAAAGAAATAAGTACAGGTGTCCCTCTGTATAAAGAACCTTAAAGACCACCTTTCTGTGGTCCCAAATTCAGAAAAGTCTTTTATCTTTATTATTCTAATTACAGACCAAAGCTGCTAATTACCATGGAAAACCTCAGTCCCAAAAGTGGTCTTTAATTGGAGGGAGACCTGTACACTATTATATAAAAAAAAAAAACAGCAAGGAAAATTTACTAAAAACATTATCAAAATTACCCTAATCAAATTTAAAATTACATAATTATTATTGTTAGTATTTAGATATTATTATACAAGTTACAATGTATTTAAACAACATTCTACTCTATAATAGATAAAAATCATCAATACATTAATGGGAGGAAGCAGGTAATAGGAATAAAAAGTGACAATTATAACATTTTCCAAAATGATAACAATGGAGACAATAATATTAATATTAATAATAATACTGTAATAATAATAATAATAATAAAACTGAAATGACTGATACAATTTACTTACTTTCATTTTGCAAGACAAAATCCCCTGGGAGGAACTCCAGTTCATCCATTTGGTTCAAAGGGCAAAGTTGAGATGAGCGAATATTCTTCTCTGTTGTGCCATCCTACAGTGAACACAAGTTACTAACATTTTTGTGAATACTGCCAATACATTTAGCAAAATTAGAAAGAGAAAAGCAGAGTATATTTAGCTATTCCATATAGGGACATTTCCATTCAACCGAAACACCATAAAATTAATATTTTATTTTTCATGACAACTCCCCCTGTCTCTTATACACATCTAGATGTGTATAAGAGACAGCCTATAATAGTTTCAAATTGCTGTACTATACTCCAACATCACTGGCACATGGTAACAACGCGTTGGTACCGTGTATGCCAGTCTACAACAAGCGTCGCCTAAATGTAATTAGCATGTTGAAATAGGCTAGTAAATAAGTTTAACTGGGTTCGTAAATAATATTGTCCTCAAAATATTGTGGCTGAGACATGAGCCGATTAAACGTAGAAATAGGAAACCTAGAAATATAGTAAAAACGCTGAATAGTACTCCAGCTTCGCAACATGCCGACGTTGGTACGAGTAGGTTAGTCTACAAACGTCGCCTAAAGTAATTGATTTTACCCGGCAGAACGAAAGAAGGAAACTCCGCTTTTCAGTTGTCTCAGGCGATTGATTTTTGACAAACAATGACCTTTCAGAGGTCAAATTGCTGTCAAGAATATGAATTGGCTGCTTCGCAGCAAAAATCTTTTATTCATCAAAATTGAAAATGTCATAAAAAAGTATAGTATACAAATATTGACTGATCGAGGTGATGTGGAGACAACAGCATACTGTACTATCTTATATCAGATAGGCTACGGTCTACACATCAAAGATGGGGCTATAGATTTCACCATTTCCTGAATCTAGAGCAGTCCATATTTGTTTTATATACCTCATTCATAGATTCTACGAAACCTGAAGAAGTAATGAAATAGTACCCACCAACTAGGACTAGGGCAACATCATTTGAAAAAAATATGAATTTGTCAAGGAGAGGTAAAATGCAATAAGAATGTTCCGTGAGAGGCCCATATTTATTGCAATGTGATTCAAGACTATTAGTTTGATCGCTGTACCTTTTCCACTGTTCCTCTGAAGTTGGTCTTGCTTCCCATAATTGGTTTAGTGCCAGATAGCCACTTTGCCTTCTTGAAGACTGACGACGGCCCATGCAGAACCTGACCTGGATAGTAGCCATCCTGGTCATTGAATACCGAAAACTAAAAGAAATCATTGACTGCATTAACAATTAAATATACAGTCCATATAATTTTGTTCTCTTTTCAGCCTATCATTATGGTCTGATTTGTTATATGGTTTCAACAGTTGTGTTTGGTGAGCTCGCAAAAGCCTGACAATTTGAGGCTTGGGGTTCGGTCTGCCATTAGAGGGTTAGCTTAGGCTTAAAAGATTAAAAATAAGCAAGGCCTCACCTCTTCACTGCTATCATGGACATCTGTGAGTTTACTTGCACCTTCATCAGTTACCTCATATCTGAAATTAAAAGGAGTGTTTTATAGTCAATTAAAGTATTTTATAAAGTTACATCACTTGTTGTTGTTGGGTGGGACAACTTGTGATACACAATTGTTCATCAAAAAGTGTTAAAAGCTGAAAAAAACTATCATTCAAAACGTGAACTGCTCACCTTTAACTATTCATAAAAATAATAATAATAATAATAATAATAATAATAAATAACAATAATAAATATTCTTCAATATATACAGTATGCCTATGTTCATACACGAGTTATGCTAGAGTAACTTTAATCGAGTGGTGTGAACTTGTACGTAGCATAGCGTACGCCTCTGAGTTACGACAGTCATGCATTAACGATATTGATTTCAGCCAGGATTTGACCAATCACAATAAGTCTAGTATGTAAACAGAAAATAAAAATGCGTGATTACGAATACTGCGCGCAAATACTTAAGCTAGCATTACATTAAATCTCCCATTCTGGACATCACGCTAGTTACGCTATGGATTAACGTACACCTGGCGTTAGATACGCCTGTCGAACCTCTCAGGTCTGAATGTAGCCTATGTCCCAATCATCCAATAAATATTTATCAACTAAATCAATTCATACATAGAGGCACTTCTTTATTTTCTTCAAAAGATCAGACAGGATTTTTTTTAAAAAACTGGGCTTCAAGTCGGGATTACCTTGCTCCATTTTGGAGCTTGATAACAAGGTCACAGGACACTTCACGGACCGTTCCCAACCACAATCCAAGCACCACATGATCTCCAACCTCAAACTCCTATAGACAAAAACAAAATGAATTAATAACATAAGTGAATGTTTGGGTGTTTTTATATTTTACCATTATGTAATATAGGCTCATTATCACATAGGGCTACAGCGGTATGTTAAATGCACTCTGTTGCACTGTAATCTATATACACTACCCACACACACACCCACCACCCCCCCCCACACACACACACACACACCCACACACACAGTAATCAAAAATACCATATATCATTTGTAGTTTGTTTTGCAGTCAGAATGCTTTAAGTAAAGGGTTACTGGAGTCACTGATTGGTCAAAATATATTGTGTTGTGCCAATTTTTGAAACAGAAAATATTTCTATGCTGATTGAAGAGTCACCACATGTTGTTATATTTGCATCGCATAAGTGAAGAATTTTCTTTCCTGCCAATGTCGCATCAAGCTGCTGATGTACTTAAATACTGTAGGCCGCATGTTTTTGGCTGTGGCTAATACAAATTTAAGCTATTGTTACGGTAAAATAACATTAAGTGGTTCTTGATAACCTTAATTCATCTGCTAATGTTTAGATTCATCTTAATAAGCAAATGCAAAAAACATACAACATACTTTAAAATCTAAATAATGGTCATCATGACATCACATCATGTCCATATATATATATATATACAACCGCTTCATGTCAAAGATGATGTAATAGTGTGAAAAAAGCTTAAGCCTTATCAGTGGAATATCGAGTCTTGAAATGGGGGAGCTGAATGGGAGAGGGGGAATGAAGGTCACATGGGTTGCCAACTGCATCCTATTATTTCCCAATGGAATGGGAATGGTAACCATACTATACTAGCATCTTACCATGATTTGATGCAAATCTCTGCTGTCAACGTCATATATCATCTGTTTGGACTTGAAGATGCGTACGTGGCACCGGATATTAACGGACCGCACAAACCCACACTGAGCCCCAATACCCTTTGAGAGGGAATACACAACATCACCAGGCATCAAACTCCTGTCGTACAATGTGACCTGTGGATAACATGATTCAAATCAATCAAATAAAAATTAAATTCTCTGTCCAAGAAATCTTCTTGCAAAGAACACAGCAATCTGAGACACTTGGTCTTAGCAATTTGTAGGCTAATAAGCACAGGGAGCTCCTTTAATGACAAACGTCGAATAGGGACTGAGGACGATTGTTAGAGAGACGGTTTGTACGTGGCGCCCTGGGTCAGACTGTTCCATTTTATTTTGATGGGGTAGTTGGTTTATCTAGATGTATTCACAAAATGATTTAAATCAATCAAATAATATGAACTTCTCTGTTGTTTACCGATCCTGACCTGACACTGGTATTTTAATTTGAAAATTCAACAATGACAATTTTGTGATATTTATTTTAATTTTATTCATTTATTTATTAAGCTTGCTCAATGGACTGAGAACAAGGTAAAAGAAAACAAGACATAAAAAGCAGCGAAAAGGAAGGGATGAACAGGTGTCATGCACCTCTATCTGGACCCCTACATTCGCCTTGAACAACATTAACCTCACATCCTACAGAAAAGAGAGATGTGGAAAATTGCAAAAACAACATACAAAAGCATATCAAGAAAGAGATAAACACATTGAACATTAAAGAGTATAAATTTTTAAATATTACAAGACAATTATTGAATTATTTATTTAATTAGACTAGGCTAGGCTTAAAACATAAATTAATAATATTAAAAATATCAAATGCATAAACCAACAACATTTAAAAAAGGCCTGGCTAGCCTAGGCATACAAAAAGTTAAAAAAAATAAATAAAATAAAAAAATTAATTAATTAATTTAAAGAAAACTACGCTATTATTATTTTAGACCCTATGCCTCAGCTTGGCTAGGCACGGGAGTTGTTCAGTGTAACAACTCCCTGGCTAGGCCACGACCAGACCAAGCTAGGCCCTAGGGTAGAAAGAGAGCCCTGGCCGCTGGGAATCAAACATACCCTACCTTGCTGTCGTCAACAACCTCTTCGTTGCCTTTCGGATACCAGGCTACGCGTACCTGACCTGCTTTGATTCCTTCTGAGGTTGTTGGATCATCATCATTGTCCGAGAATTCATCACTGCTGTCATATGTTTCATAGTTTGTCACAACTAATCCAAATTGATATTTTCCACCTCTAAGTTTTTTAACAATAACATCTTCTACGAATAACTTAGCCATCCTTCCTTCGAATTTTTGATGTGTACTTGGTGGAGCAGTTCGTCGTTATGTGTACTAACGCGTTACAATAACACTGCAACAGTGTCAACCTACAACAGCTCGCGTCAACAGAGGAATGCCTACGAAAACAGAGACTTAATTAGATTATAAATACTGTAAATAAAACGTCTTTTTTAAATTAAACAAAGCATTAATACAAATTACATAGAAATTAAAACATTTCAAACAATGAGCAAAATTAACTAAAGGACTGATCATATGCACATCGATAGGTATATTTAATTTTAATTCTGAATTTAATAAGGTGAGTTTATCCTGCGTACAGTACATTATTACAAGGTGTCCGCTATTCATAGGGGTTATTGTATAAGACGTTAACAATTACTGATGATGTCATTTGTATCAGAGTTTATAAGTCTTCTCGGCTATAGACGGTATATTTTAATATTATACCCGGACGAAATATGCGCAAAAACTTTTATTTCTCAATGTATAATAAGATCATTTTTCGTAAATTACTCATGTCTTTCTATTTTTATGTATTAGCCTATAAATTAAATAATATTAAGGAAATTTTATCTTTATTTTGCTAATGTAATCATTAACATATTTGTTAATGAAATCATTTTTTACAAATTTTGAAATTGAAATTGACATGCTGTTTATTTTTGACCAAACACCCTCCAAAACCTCTCACAATAAGCAAATGTTTTCCGGTACTCCCGATTGGATATCTAAAGAATTCCTGATATCATAATTTGTAAACTAAATAACTAGGCCTATAGGTAAGTCTTACAAATGTGAACTTAAAAAATACATCAATAAAACTATAAATACATATTGACTTTTTTAGACTAAAAATTAATGTGTCCCTAAATTTTATCACCTCCGTCACATTAAAATGCTATTATAGTGTTAGCAAAATGACTAACAAGTTATAGACCAAACCATTTTGGTTGAAGGGAACCACACAGTTAGAAACGGTCCATTTTGTACAGTTAAAATTATTATTATTATTATTATTATTATTATTATTATTATTATTATTATTATTATTATTATTATTATTATTATTATTATTATTATTATTATTATTATTATTGTTATTGTTATTGTTATTGTTA